ACTCATGACATTGTTTATTTGACAGAAAATGTACAGAAAGGTTCTGCAAAACAAAAATTATTAGTTCCGTGAAAGGCACCATTTCTGAAGGGGTCTTTACAGAAACGCTAGTAGACGCCAGTTTCATCTTCTTTGAGGTATATGTATCTTCCCCCACTGTGAATATACTGGTAAGCAACCTGTCGGATATTTGAGTACATAGAGCTACTATTTATGAACTCCTTGAGAGATTTTGAAACGCGGTTATATTACCTTCAATTTGAATCAGTTACTTGACTGCATATTCTGCGTACGAGGTGAAGCACTAAATATGTGATCGAAAATAAATCTGTTATTATTCTGTTTCATGTTTCCGTTTATCAACTATGTTCTTCTGTATATTTAGCTACGCCAGTTGCAATTCAGTGTTATTATTTAAATAGTTCAAATTGTATGCAACAGAATTATACATTATATAATTGTACTTATATGGCCACAACATCATCTGCCCTACTTTCACTTCAGCTTCGCAACGATAATTCTATTTGGCGCCTGGATGATGTTTCAGTTCTGAACGCTAACCAAGAACGACTCCTTAATGGTGGATTCGAAACTGGTACTCTTCAGTCATGGAATTATTCCTATCCTAGCAATGGTACTAGTGGAGGATTTGTTAGTGGTGGAAGCAGTCCTCATACAGGCACTTTCTGTTATTGGACAAATGCAACAGATGCACCCACTACTCTCGTTCAAACATTTGTAACTATTCCTAATGAAATATATAATATTACCTACTATTTAAATAGGGATGCAGGTAGTTTCAATTGCTATGCTGACATCACAGTAACTCCACAATAATAAATTGATTTCACTCGCAATTTCTATAGAAATGAAATTGTGCGGAACTGTGGAAATATAAAATATAATCTTATTATGCTTGTCATATCAGACTCTTCTAATACTCGATATTTTAATCAGAATCTATATTTACAGATTATGTTCTAGTTATGAAGTAACAACAAAAATGAAGAGGATAATACTAACTGAGTGGTGCGGTCAAGGTGTTCAAACACGAATTCGCAGATTGCGTTTTCCCGTGCGAATTGTACTTCGCTGCAATTAACCGGTAGTGTGTAAACATATCAAATCTGCGAAGTGTATCGAGGAGCGAATTGCATTTAGAATCTATTCAACGTCTTTTTCTGTCTCAACAATCTGCATTTCCGAAGTGAAGGCGAATTGTACATTGTTGAAAACATGCTCATCAATGTGCAGACACGAATTCGGCAAAACTCGCTGACCTGTTTAGATGTCAATTCAACAATGGTGGCAATGTACAATTTTGCACATCGTCGCTACCAAATTTAAACAACGATGTGCAAGACCGAATTCGCCGAACTATGTAAATTCTTCAAAAAAGAAAGCATAAATTATGTGTCAACTCGAAGCAATGTAAAAATGAGCACTTTGGAAACGGTTACTGTAGAATATGAATCTAACTATGTACAAGACCGAATCGTTCACCAAGCTAAACTAGAACCCACATGACTACGCATGATAAATATCGGAAGTGGAAGAAGGTTTTCCTCCAGTTGCAAAAATGTGCGTATTGCTTGCACCTTGCAGTTATTTCTTATTAAATTCTGCGAATTCACACATGACTACGCATAACAAATATCGGAAGCGAACGAAAGTTTCCCTACCGTTCGGGAAATCTGCAAACTGCTTGCACTTTGCACATTGCAGATACTTGGTATTAAATTCTGCGAATTCACACATTCCATCATTTGTTTTTTATGATGACATGTGCCATGTAATTAAACATATTATAGACATATACAGAGAGAAACTTTCTTCAAATTCGGATAATTATCACAGCTGCCCATTTACGAATTGATTGCAATGTGCAAAGTGTACGCTATTTGCGGATTTTTTGACTTAGAGGAAAATGTTTTTCGATTTTGATCTACTTTAATAGCAATGAACTTGTGAATTCTCACATTTTCATACGAATTGTTTGCAAAGTACAAAGAACAAGCAATTTGCAGATTTCTCGATATAGAAGTAAAGACATTTGATAGTTCGCATAGCTACTCACCTGCAACTTTGCACTTTTAACGTACGAAGTAATTGCAATGTGCAATTACGAAAATTCTTCTTTTTGTCTAGCAGACAGTCTGTAGTATTTTGCCCCTATTTTAGCAGATTTTACTTAGTGTAGTTAGCTGATATAGTGTATGCGCTATATCAAAAAAATCAACTGTTCTCTCTTCCACCATGAAGAACGCCCATAAACTTGGAACAGACTATATGTAAAATGAATGAACACGTATGTCTGAGAAGCTTTTTCATATGTAAAACCGATTGTGGCTAAAATATGTTAACTCTTAGATCCTCCTCTTTCTAGCAGTAGGTTAAAAACAACAACTGTCAGTCGTTTCCTCGTTGAAAGATCCTTGAAATACTGAGTCCCACCCGAAAAATTGTTTGTCTTCATCGTTGAGTTTTCGTCTGATCAGAACCCTCAAATGCGGTAAATAAAATCTAATTTTGAGATTTATCGGGTACTCGGCATACGACTAGAGATGTGCAGAGCGCACTTACCTAGGACCAGGGCTTCGTCTAAAAAAGATATATCGTCGGTACAACATTGAGGTCGGTCGCTAGCGACAGTTATTTTAAACTCTTTATTTTATCGAATGCAAGACACTCATCTTTGGTGCAACTGGCAAACAACAACAAAGGCTGGACGAAGAATCGGTCGATGACATTATGTTACTATGAAATTTTAAAAAAGAATTTTTATCAATATGATTCATTTATTTAAAAAAATAAAGAAATAATTGTAAATGAAACGTTCTCAAATTTTCAAAGGGTAGGGCAAGAGCTTCGTAAACAGTTACCCTGTACATCTCTACATACGACGGAAAGGTCGGCTATGGGTTAAATTTCTATAGTAATGCACAAAAAAAATGCTAGATCAAAACTTAATCCGACCTCGAATAAGAGAGTAATGATTGAAACTAGGAGTGTAACGGTTATAACTGGTATAGTTCACCTTTTGTTTCTAGAACGGATTGCGTGGAAAGCACGCATATTAACATTTTTCTAATAACTAGGTTTTCTAGAGCAAACATTTTTCTACCAGATGAGCAATGGGGACGTCTTCACGTTTTCTATTTCTGCCATAATCATTTTTCGATAAAGAGCTGTAAACCGGTTATAACCGATCATGGAGATTTTGAGAAATAATTTCCTCGAAGTACTGGATCAAGACAAAGAATACACTCATAGTGCTTTATAACTAACAACTAACCAGTTGTTACTAAAATTAGAATCAGTTTTGATTAGAAAAAAAAAAAATTTCCGAAAAAACGCACAATTTCAATCGGTCTTAAGCACAGGTATATTGTGGTCCAGAAGATTCTCCATGCTATTCATAAAAAAGATTTGTCGAAAATAAGCAACTTTGCCACAAATTTCAACAAAAACTTTCATATCGAGGTTGCTTTCTGTTTACAAAGTTTCACGTCGTTTTGGACAAATCTCTATTATGTATAGAATGGAGAATTTGCAGAGCTACAAATGTGTATAATTCGATTTTTCATTGGGCTTCGATCAGCTGTGAAAATCCAAATTTCATGAAAAGTATCGAAAAATTAAAACTTTAGAATAAAGAATTATCTTTTTCTACATAATATCGAACGTGCTAGAAATGAGAAAATAATAAGTTTTTGTTTAGTTTTTTTTACATCTTTTCGACAGAAATGTTGCTCGAAAAGAACAAATGAAACTCGACAAAAGTTATAATCAAAATAAGAAAGGGGTCTCTTTTTCCTTCTGTTTGGGTATCTTCAGTACAACCAAATTTTCTCGATCAGTGTCTACATAAAATCTATATCTTAGTTTTGCGTCGGGAATCAACTGAAATGACGAATAAAAAACCCTTTTTATCATGCTATGTTGCCATGGCAAAACTTCTCTTAATAAGAATAGAAATGAAGTAGATTTTTTATACAAAGTTGTATTTTAATGAAATGAGCAAAATAAGCTAGATTTGATCTCCTTTCGGCCGAGGTTCGGAACCTTCGAAAGGAGATGAAATCTAGCTTATTTTATTCGTTTCATTACAAATTGAAGAAGCAGTTGGGTACATTTTATGTTGAAATGGGTATTACTAACTATTCCTATTGAGTAAATGTACTTTTGATCACCAAATTATTTTTAGATATAAATGATCACCAAATAAAGATACTTTTAATCACCAAATTTGCCAGCATGATCTCACATTTTCACTGAAATATTAACCAAATGAATAATATTTTCACAGTTTTATTTATATCTATTTACAAATTTAGGGCTGTGCTAACTTTTTTGGGTGGTGATTTTCGTTGGTCTAATGGTTGAATACACCAGAAAGTCAATGAATGCATCATTGGCTAGATATTTATCGTTGGTGTCAGTTTATTTATTATTTATCGTTCGCGTCAAAATTGATAGCCATTCCTATTTTCTATTTTTTTCTTTCCATAAGCACTGTTTGTGTGTGATGCTTGACCAACTTTTTACTGGCGCTGTGTCAGCTTAGTGAAGAATAAAAAAAGAGAAAAATTTTCACATCAATCTTTCATAGTAATCCAGTGCAAATAAAGAATATTAGGAAAACTGATCTGAGTTTTCTCTATCTGTTGAGATCTAAATCGAGTATTCAATACGTACGGCAGTTAAAAAATATCTAAAGTTATGTTTCCATTCTTTTCGATTATTTGGCTTGCACAAGAAAATTTTAAAAAACTCTTATTTTACAATGAAAATCTATTAAATAGTGACTCTTTTTACAAGAAGTAGATATGACATTAAGATACCTATGTCATGCTTGAAAAGCGAATTTGGAACAAGTACAAAAAACGATACAATCTCTGCTTTGGATCAAAGTTTTACTTCTGAATGGCTGTTATTGGACGCCATTTTCCTACACGATCGACGATTACGTTGAATGTATAAATGAGTAGGTGTGGAATTTAACGTGCCAGGAACAAGAGAGATATTGTCAAAAAAAGTAGTGTATATGCGTTTGGAACTGCCTTTCTTTCACCATCTGCCGATCCCATCTTGCTGACGGTCGGTGTCATTGTTGTTGTTTCTGAAACCTTTGCCACATTTGTTGTTATTTTAGCATCACCCCGTGTACCAACTGAGGCACAAGCTGTGTTTGATGGATTAGTAGCAGTTACTGCTGAATTATCACTGCTCATTATAAATGCGTACGAGGTGGGGGTCAATTCCGTTGTTGCCGTCTGGAATCCATCTGGTGTGGAAATGGACGTTGTCGGCGGTGTCGATGGACAATTCAAACCAGAGGTGCTTGTGACAGAAATACTTAACGCTCCTGCCGATTGTACGATAGTCAGCTGGCCGGTAAGACAACAGCATTGCGTAGGATCGCATTTCGAATCGTCAAGCTGATACGTACCTGCCCAGTTGGCGAACTGACTGTAAACGAAGCCACATAAAACCAAGATGACAAAACCGGTGACGATTGTTTGCATTGCTAAAGAGTAAAGAAAGATAAATTTTGAGCTTGAAAAAGTCGGTTTGTTTCTTTATCTGCTTTTTTAAGTGGTTCAAATACAGAAAACGTCACTGGAACAAAAACTGCAACTCAGAGCCTCTCGCAAAATAAAGAATATATATGTGGTAGAGCGTAGGGGTTTGGTATTTACCGTAACGTATATTTTGCTTTGAATGTTCGTGGTTACCTTCTTATCAAAGGATACAATTGTAAAAAATCGATGACAGGACATTATTCACGAATATACTTGAATAAACTGTACTTGATCCGATGTGTTCTTACCGAACAAAAAGAAAAAATGAAGTAGAAAGAGAAAAGCATGCACATAACGTACCCAAAAAATAAACATATAACACAAACAGTTCGACTAATCCGTTCATAAAATCGATTCTATAGATAAAATGTATCTGGAAAAATGCGTAAATAATAACGTAAAAACATGACATGATTTCATGACAATAGTAAAAATTATGCGTATTCAGAAGTGTATGAACTTGTAGCGCTTTGCAGCGTTCTGAACTGCCATATTCAGTCTGTATAGTGAAAGATCAATTACAGCTGGCGGGTACATGTTCTGTACAGCTTATAGTTTGGTAAACAATATAAGCACCAGTATTTAAAAATAACAGTATTATCGATGCTTTGAAAGAGGTCAGTGTAAGAAAACATACAACGTAGATCGGTATCCAGATCATTTGTATCTTTGGATATTCACGGTTAAATACTCAATCACAAATAACCATTTTACGGGCTCCGGTTAATAGAAGTCAATTAGTCAACAACAAATAAAGCGAAAATATGTATTTTTGTGTACTCTTTCTTACTAACTAATATAAGCTTCGAATTTCTGGTAAGTACAGAAGTTGCATCTTGCACTCCTGTGTCGATAGATAATGAGCTCGGATTTGCGTAAAATCATACAAGGAAGCCCCCACTACTTTCTCGTATTAGACGTATTTGAAAACCTGAGAAAAGAAAATGTTTCATAAAACTTATTAGTTTGTTCAAGAACTTTTTCCCGTAACCCTTTTCTTGAACTATTTATTAAATTTTTTTCCATAGTAAAATGATTCTGCTTTTCTGTTACAAAATACCAACGGTATTTGGGCAATGTTTACTATTATTCTTCTTTTGAACAGTTAAGTGGTTTGAATAATCATTCATTCATAAAATTAGAGACCGTTTGCAGTCGCTGTTAATAATACCATTAACTCTCCCTCTAGTCAGAGGCGTATCTCAGCCTAGGTAGGTCTAATACGAACCAAACTTTTGGAGAATATTGATCATGTCAAGGCGTGGTAAAGAAATTTTTTTTTGGTTTTTCCTTTTCTGACTTCTAGTGCTTAATAGAACTTTAAAATCCGAAAAACCCTTGGCAGCTTTCTAAGAAATTTTCATTTGTATAAAAAATAGAATCATATTTTAAAAATCGCACTCTGCCAAGCCCTAGCTATAGGTATTATTTACACATTAAAAGAGTATTATCTTTCTCGAATGTGTTGTGTGTGATTACCGAGAATTCCTGCACGTGGCGAAAGCTCTGAAGCTAAAAACCAGTCTTGAGAAAAACATAACATAAGTTTTGATTCTGTTAAATGCGGTTTACTTGAAAGCTATTTGAGCTTTACATAATTTGTTAATTTAAAGCAGAAATTGTTACGTTTAATTTATTCGAAAGTAATTTACACGATGTGCAAGATATTAGATATGGAAGAATACGTTTATTACTCTTGATATTATTCATATTGGCTATTTAAACTGACGCTTCTCATTGAACAAAAACGGCTGTTATTCAATATCCATCACGATCAAAATATGAACTTATCACAGAAAAATATGTAGTAAATTGTCATTGCATCCAAACACGAATAAACACATCATGTATCCAACTACTGACTAATGGAAAAACCTCGCTAAGATTCCTCAGTTTCTACAAAAGATAATGTGTTTCCTTACCATTAGTCAGGCTCATCTGAAAGTATTGCCTGTTTATTCAAATGCAGTTCTGTTTTGATAAAAAGGGGCGACGAATGTAGAAATTTTGAGATTACAGATAATTTGGTAGTCTAATTCTGATTGTAACATTTTCACACAGGAATGTCAACTACGTAGCATCCTTAACAACGTAAATGGGGACATAAGGGAGACTTATTCCCTACAAAGAGGAGACAAGACAAAACGCATCATTTATTGTACAGTGTCATTGAGAAAATTAACGTCACATTAATATAACCTGTCTATCATATCCTTTTATTATTCATTTTTCTTCTTCTATTACTATCTGAAAACGCTAAATTTAACACATGCATCTTTATCAAGTTCAGTTGTCGCTGTTATCAATTCGTATATGTTTTTTCTCAGGAGAAGAAAAGACGAAAGCAATGAGAAACATAACTCACTGATGAAGGTGTTGTAGAGATTTCTGAAGTACCTCTTGCTGTATTCCCTTTTTGCTTGATGATTAGGTACAGACATCTGAAGATCAATCGCATATGCTGCACTACTAATGGAAAACTGCAAATTACAACTAGAATGCTTATGTGGAATCTAATCTAATTTTTGTTAAAAAACTTGTGAATATTATCATAACTTTGTCTTTTTTTTGTTGTCATTGTGTATCGTTCTTATCATGTATCCTTGTCCTGTCTTCTGTCCTCAGTCAATATGTAAATATGTAATGGGTTCGCCTCCTTCTTTTCATTATTTGTACTGAAGTCTTCACACTCCCTTCTCTCAAAATAAAAATTGATAACTAATATTATCATATATTATTCGTCGTCCAACGATTCTTTTGTTAAGACAATAAGCTGGCTTTGTCGATGATTTATTTGTTTGTCTAGGTTTGTAGTTAACTTTTCTGAACTTTCATTTTCTAAATCCGACGTTGTTTATTTCAAACTAATTAGATATACGTAGAGAATAAGCTCGAGGACCGTAGTATGAATTTGAGTTTCACAAATATTTAGCAAGAATAAAATTATTATTGTACTTGATTTTTATTTTGTTTTTACCGTATTGTAGAAAGTGAAAAACTTAATCTTACTAAGATCTTGGTAAGATTTCGTTCACATTTGTCTGAGATCGTGAGACACGAAAATTTTGAGATTTTATAAGATTTCTCGAAGATCGTACTAAGATTATATTGTCTAGGATATTTTTAGGATTTGGTAAGAATTTGTTGTCAACGTACTCTAGATCTAAATTTCGCACTGATTTATTATTTTGATCAAATAAGTTACATAATGACAAATATCTTAATAATGAATGAACGTGATTTTCTAACATTAAAAACAGTTGTTTATATTCCGTGTAGACACCGATCACTTTTGTGTATGTTATTAAATCGGCGTATAAGCGGGAATTCATACAGAATATATAAAATGAATCGAACTTTACTATCATCATGGAACGGTCGTGGCGTACCACGAGAATATCGTTCAACTACGATAATAATTATCTTGTGTGTTTCACTTTTCTTTACACCATCAATAAGTTCAAGACGACTAAAACAAAAAACAATCTGATCATGCAGTTGTCGAAGATGCAGTTTGACACCTTCGTCTATATTATCATCTAATCATATTAGAGTTCGATCCTCACCGCTATTCAAATTCAAGTGATTTTTCGTTTCCACAATATCAGACTCTGTAAACGGACGGCTATTTTTTGCAATATATATCGGATAAATAAAACCATCTGTTATCTATTGTAGGAGAATAAAAGTAGAATAATGATAACGGGTTTTTAAAGTCAACAATACGTAGACGATAACCGACTACATGAATACTGGGATAAGACGAAAGCTTGAAATAACATATTCTAATGAATGTATTACTAAAAAATTTGTCACCGTTAATCATTGTTTTTTATTTCGGCAGATCATCCATGTTATTCGAATGTTTTCTTCTCTAGAGGATAATACATATTTGAGTTTTAAAGAAATATGATATCCTAGTAATCTTCCAGACTACTTTGAAAGGTTCATAGCGTTGATTTTTGAGACTAATTTGCAACTTACAATTAGTTACAATTACTTTCCTTAAACAATGCACACAGTTCTTCCGCTGTAGCATGTCGTTTACTGGGATACTTGAATTCAATTAAATCAAGTAATTTATCTTCGGTCCATGTATCATCCCACACAGCCATCGGTGATCACTTAATCAACAATTTTCTTTCAAATATCAATAGAAAAAGCGTGGAAACAAACAAAGCATTTTATGTGCAAACTCTTAGAAGATGTCTTACGCGTTTTTAACCTCAAGTAGAGCTATGATTGATAGCTTCCACTCTCGAGAAATACTGAAGTATATCGGATGAAACGACGAGCTTAAAAACATATAATGACAAGGTTGATTTTCTTAAGTGTTTTAAAAATACTACTTTTGTAAACCGACTTTCGGACGTCCTTTTTAGGTTTTGTACTGCACAACGTTTTCCTCTAATATTTCACATCGTACGGTAGAAAGAAAACAAGTCTATTCGTCTAATCTCTATCTAAATCAATGTAATCTATTAGTGTCATCTCAATGAAAAAAAACCCTCTTTAGTTTGTATTGAAAAATATTGGTTTCTACGGTTTGTTTTAAGAAAAATTGCCGTGTGCGTGATTTGTTCGAACGGTTAAAGAACAGCGTCTTTCTATACATTGTTTTCACTCTGATATTTTTATTTTTTCTCGAGGCGTGTTCTGTTACTCGCCGAGATACCATAATATACTGAAATATCGCTTAATAGCGGGGAAAAATCTGATTCTCTCTTGAATGCAAAGAGCTGGCAGTGCTTTCTGAAAAATATCCTATCATATCAGAAGCTTCTTTTGACTCAAAGACTCTGAATTAAAGATCTGTACAGGAAATTCATGGTTGCAACCAAGGACGCGCACAGGTAGGCTCGAAAAAATGGCGGACGGACAACTGTCCTCTTAGATTTTTGAAAATTTTTTTTGAGAAACAAAAATTATATTCTGAGATTTGAATTATTTGTAATCGAAATATACACACTGAAAGCCATACCAAAAGCAGGATAACATAATATACACACATTGACGAGAAATTTCTCTTCGTGCATGTCATATCAGTTGCAAAAAAATGACATATCAGAGTGAAAGGGCCTAAAAAGTTTTTAAAAAACTTAGTTGAAAAAGGTATAGTTGCCCTGTTTCTTACTGCCGTTTTGAACCGGCCGGCGCAGTCCAACCTCTTATTTTTTGAGAGCTTTCAACTGCAATTTACATTAGCTTGAACAAAAATATGAAATACGGAAGAACATACTACTTCTTCATAACAATCAAAAAAATCAAAAGAAATAGTAAAAAGTTAACGCACAATACTATCTACAGAATCGAATCAAATCATTTTTTTCTGCGCACATCAACTTTTTTGACTTTTAGTTTAGTTTAGTTTATTCTGACAAACCGTCATGAGTTCACAGCCACTAGTAGAAACAAGTAATTAAACAAAACCCAAGCAAAAAAAGTGGAGCTAGAATCGGGCGGGTTGGACCTAGATAACACGGTTTTCGACCCGGTTAAGCTAGATCCACCTTAAAACGTTTAACCTAGGATCGGGCGGTTCAACCTACTTTTGGGCGGTTGGGGAGGTTATAAGCTAGGTTAACCGACCACTTAACCGATCGATCGAGCTAGCTCTAACCGCCCACTTAACCGATCAATTAAGCTAGTTTCTGGTATCAAATAGATTAAACGCAGGGAGGTTATCAGCTAGCTCCAACCGCCCACTTAACCGATCGATTAAGCTAGTTTCTGGTATCAAATAGATTAAACACAAGGAGGTTATCAGCTAGGTTAACTGCCTACTTAACCGACCGATCGAGCTAGCTCCAACCGGGCAATTAACCGACCGGTTCAGCTAGTTCCAGACATGAAATGCATTAGATACGGGGAAGTTATCAAGTAATCTACAGGTAAACCGGGCGGTTACAGTGCCTAGTTAACCGGGTAGCTTAAAAAGTAAGAAGAAGGAATATGTGCCTAACGAGAATCGTAAGATGTAAACGTCTTTTCTTTCTATACATGGCTAACGTTTGGTTACGAAACGAAACAAAATGAGTAATGCTATTCTCTTTTCTTCCACTACTTTCACATTCATGAATGTGAAAGTTTTATCGTAATGGCTATTGGTACTCCCGGGAGTGGCAACTAGGAGCTATTTCCGTCGCCCGGCAAACTTAGTGTAAAAGCTATGTCGGACAAGTGGTTTATTCTCGGGAGCCGAGCATTGTAAATTAAATGTTATTCTTTTAAAGCTTTTTTCCTTTTTGAGTTGTTTGTAAGTGAGTTCTAATGCGCGAGAAGTATAAGTTATTTCAAGTTTCTCTCCAGTGCGATATGGTT